TTTAATTAAATATCTCTCCCTAATAATATTCACCAGATAATATATTTTTGCTTGATATGAAAATATTAATATATTTGATTCCAAGTTAAATAATAGGCAAGTTTAATGTATGATGATGTGTGCTGCATAGAATTGGGATAGCATGTTTATCTGCAAGAGCAGATTTGCAATTCATATAATTGCTTTTTCTGCAATGGAAGATAAAGTCTTCAAATGAACAAGGTCAAAAATAAATACAACCTATTTGCTCTTTGTTTCATTTTAGTATATTTCTTCAAAAATACCATACGTTACTTTAAGCGAGTTTTTCTTACTCTTTTACTATAATGAAAGCATTCTGATCAAACAACCAGCGACCAGCCCAAATATTCCCCAGAACTTTGAAACTATAAGCATTTTGTTCTGCTGCACTATTCCTTTTTGTTTAAATGATGACAGGAACTTTCCCCTGCCACCCGCAATGAAAACACTTTTTTTTTTTCATGCTTACGAATGGGTTAAGCTTTTAAGTTCTTCGTTTGGTTTTAAGCTGCGACTCCGATATAGAAGGTTGATATGACTGTGGTTTGAATAACATTTGATTTTGACCTGTTCCTGTGGGTTGCGATGGCATAAGAAACTTGACTCAGCAGCGCTGTAATTAGCCCGGCCCGTGTTTTTGAAACAGGATTGTGTTACCTGGATTGCATTAGTGTGGCTTCTATTGTTGCCGTCTTGCATCTGTCCCAGTAGGGTACTTAAAACCTTCTCTTGGCTGGGGTAGTTCAAACAATTTAGGCAAAATAAGTATGCACTTTATGCTGTTGGTGGCTTTAGAGATATTACTCGTGACATTTATCCTTTTCATTTTTTGGTTTGACAAAGTAGAAAACAATGCATTGCCAATCTTGGTCTCTTAGATAGGAGTACTTCAAAAAAACATCTGAAACACAGTGTGTGTGCACCGGGCCCGGCATATGTTTACTGGCCGGCTGTTGCCACTGTCTCCCACGAACTTTCTTTTCATGCAGTGATGCCAGTTGATATGCGAAGCCCCGCTTAGTTATTTTTATTTGTATCTGAGTTTTCAGAATTTATTTGTCCTCCAGTCTGACAAAGGTTTTAAATGCTCCAGTCTTGTCTCTGCTGATCTGTGAAACTTCCATTTTTAACGAGAGAAGAGAATAACAAGAAAAGGAGTTATGCAAGGAAGGGCAAAATGGGAAAGATTTTTCAATGGCATCAGATTGCTGCAAAGGAAAAAAAACAAAACAAAATAAAAAAAGGATGGCAACCGTGTTTGAATTTCGTAGTTTCCAATTTGATTCTATATTACTGATTGTATAATATCTGTTAGGATCTGATTTGCTTTCAGATTTATGGATGCAAATCCCTGAATATTTTGTAAAAGTAGGCTATGGGGTCTGTGTTCAGTAGCAATAGTAACTGTTTTTTACATGATGCATACAATATGCAATTATGGAGCTGAGGGGACAGGCATCACTGCATTAGGACTTAGCATAGTTTTAACATGCAGTCACCTTTTGAGCACTAATAGTTTTTAACTGCGTTTGCATGTCCTTTGGAATTTGGAAGAACACTGCTATTTTTATCAGTCAAAAGACTTTTAGCCATGGTTATTCAGAAAAACTATTTATAGGATAGAGAGAAGAGGCTTTCTGGTCATATGGCAATGTTGCAGGGCAAGCTCTTTCTGTGTTAAATTTTGGTATCTTATTTGCTGCCAGTGATTTAGGGACATCAGGTTGGCATATTCTATAAAAATGTGAAGTGGGCAAAATGAGTAATTGTAATACTGTGATTTAGAAAAAGTGTGTTTCTACTTCATTCTAATTGCATGCAACAGAGTAAGGAAAATATGACCCTCTTTTTTTTTTTTTTTTTTTAACAATTTGTCAAGTCATTTCAAAAAATCTTATGGGAAAATTGCCCTAAATGTAGAGTGTGGACATCTAAAGTTGACTGCCAGGTTATATTTCTGCCTGATGCCAAAGAGCTTGATTAAGAAGCACAAAATTCAGTCTGTGCCTAATGATCCAGGTATTTGGTCTGTATAAACATGGGAAGAGTCAAATGAGTTACATTTAATAGCTGGTGACCAGGAACTAATAACAGCAAATTTCATTATCATTGAGGTAAAGGGCTATGTGTGGTAATTATTGTTAAAGTAAAAAGCAAGAAATGACTTCCAGTTATTGAATTAAGGTGGAGATTGATTTAACATATTCACACAGTAACTCATATTTGAATTTAAAAGGTTTGCAATAAACTTCGTGTTTAGAAATGGAATAAATTGTAGTTTTATTACCACATTGGATATCCTTGTGTCCTAACCTTTTTCCTTGGAGTTATCTTAGTTCAATAAATAAAACCTCATTAGACTATTCCCATTTCAACGAGTTTATTAAATTTTGCAGGAGTAATTAGCATAAGCTGTGCTAATTTTTCTGGAAGACTAATGAGGGAGGTTCTTAATTAGGTTTACTTTGTAAGAATCAGAAAAGATGATAATGGCAAAAGTCACGTAGGGTAGTCTGAATTTGGAACCCCGTTTTTCTGCATCTCTCTTAAAAAAAAAAGTACCTCCCATTTTGTATATGAAATCTTCTTTCTAAATGCTTGAGCCAAATATATTAAGCACTCAGACTACTAGTCCATATTTAGTTAGTTAGGATTATCATTGTTCATGATCGGCTTCACAAAACTCTTCATTTTCCTAAACTATCTTGAGGAATGACATGGGTAAATACAGAGGGTGTTGTGAAGACTTTTCCTTCTATGAGTGATACTATAGGGTTTCTTTCACGCAGAGCTCTGAAATTTCTGGCTAGACTTATATTGCTTATTGCCAATAGTGTGGGATAGGGAGGAGCTCAATATGATTTGGTTTTTTTTTTTTTTTTTCAATTTAGAATCTTTGTGAGTAATGAAGTAGGCCATTAAGTATGGGGAAATAATAAGAACCCCAATTCTTCTTTTCCTTTTACTGTGGATTCCTAGCTGTTTAGTGAATGTTTTTGTTTCGTTGTTTTGTTATTTTGTTTTTGAATGGACAGAAATAGTAAAGGGTAAAATCCCTTCTCAAATTATGTTCTATGATATGTAAATTTAGATGTAGTCCTTTTGAGATGCAACATGGCTCAAGTATCCTACAGATTTTGAGTTCCTTAGAGCCAATATTTAAATCATGGATTTTAAAAGACTTTTAACTAATATGTACCTCTAAAGAATTTAGCTTTGCTCATTGTAACCTTAACAGACTTTGCGTATCTTTCTTCTCCATTTCTGAGAATCATTATATCCTATGTTTATAGCCTTGAGATATAGGTCTTGATGCATGACATTTTAAAAATACACACATTCTGTAGTATGAACAACCTAGTTTGTTGGAATTACTTCAGGCCACACTTACCTAAGTTTCTCTTAAAAAGAAAGGAACCTATATTTATTTTTTTCCAGAATTTTCTACAGCTCTTTCATATTTAGATCATTTTCATTTAGGTCACATTAATTGAGTTTGTTTTGTGATTATTGTCTAAAACAGAATAGAAAATATCGGAATGCTGATTTTACCTGTTGATTTTACGTGCTGTGTATCATAGGAACAGAAAAGCTTACCTATGTTAGGGTTGCACAGAGAGTCAGTCCTACTGAAGATCTGT